AGCGCGCATGTTCCCAGCGTCGCGTAACTTCCGCTGTTGTAACAATATATTCAAACTTATTATGATATCACAAAGTTTTTAAATAACGCAAAGAAAAACAACTTATAAATTATAAATATTATGTCTATTCAATAATTCAAAACAAATTGTTTGGTAATAGTGCGAAGATTTATTTTTAGAGTAATTCAGGCTGTGCAGTTAAAAATAAAAATTTTGGTCTCCTCTTTATTATGTAGGTCTCTGCCTCTCGTCCCAGAACAGAAATATCCAGCGCCTTTTGTTTGCTACGTGCATTACATGTTGTTTTAGTCACGTGACTAAATCCCTCAAATGCATAACACGGTAATCTTCAGTGGTAATTGGTAGATAAGGTACGTATTTGATATTTCCAAGGTAAATTAATCTGTCTAATTAAACTCGTGGTAACTGGATTTTTAAGAGGATTTGAGAAAAGTCCGCCAACAAATCCAATACAACAATTTCCAGCTAAGGTAAAACTCCCACTTTAGAATCATGCAGTGAAGATAAACATTAACGTTAACACTCGTTATTTCCAGTATGGGTAAAACTACTTTAGAAAATAAAGAAATCATAGTTTAATTCTACATAAACACTTTTGAGTGGGATAGATTTTAAACCTATAGATGCACATAAAACATTTATAAAATTATTATTATTATTATATACTCATGTTATAGTGTTCCTAACATGACATATTTTAAAAAGTCAACCATGATATTCTAAATACATAGCTGGATTATATTTTTAAATGCCGTTGTTACGACAGCGGAAGTCACGTGACGCTGCTGGCGCGTTTGGCGCTGGTAGCGTGCGTGAAATTTCTCGAATGTTCATGAATGATCGGGAGGCCTGAGAGTATTAGAGATGCCCCCTTTGTTAATATATAAGGCTGGCAGAGAAGCCAGCGATGGATAGATAATTAAAGAAGCGAACAGTAGTGACGGTAAGTGAAGTGTGTGAATCACTGTGATTTATAGCGTGTATTATAAACGTTGTTAAGTTTAAAGTGACGAGAAACGTACTGACTGTGGAATTACTGTGTACTAAAAGTTTGTATCGAGGAAGAATGAACTGGTTTAATCAAGAAAGGACTTGTATAACTGAAGTTCCTCGGAAAGAATTTCTACCGGAAATTATCAAACAAGCAGATACGTAACACTGTAAAGAAAAAAAAAGCAATCTTATATTTTTCGGAAATAAAGGTATCTAACTAAAGAAAATTGATTCTTTCATAATTAGGCTTAATTAAAAATATCTATTCCTGCTGTATATAAATAAACAGATGATAGAATGTAGAAGTAAAGGATGTCAACATTCATCGTTTAATTCAAGTTTGAATATAAGTTTCACATGAGCATATCACACCACATCGTACATTTGCCACCTTTAGTTTATATCAGTTTCAGAACTCGATGGTGATACTCTGGAACCTACCAGTAGTTGCCACGTGACCAGCAATACCTTGGTTTGTAGGAATTCGTAACTCAGATGTTATCTACGATAGAAAATACAAGTGAATTACACAACTATCAAGGTGTTTTGTATCAAATACACTAAATAATTTATCTTGTTTTGGAGACTGTAAGCTGCAAGCGAGCTATAACACAGATACATCACAGTTTTAGTAATAGTTTTATACATGATTCAAATTATTGAAGTTGGGGCTTTAGTCGCTTAATCATACCAAATTTTCTTTAATACGAATACAACTTTCGTTTTTACTTTTGCCATAATCTTGAAATGAGCATTCTTTACTTCTACGTCGCAGTTAATGACATATTATTTTACACACGGCTTGTTTTCACTGATTTTATTTGTTTGTTCCCGTGCTCTAATTTTCAGATCTTATATGCTTAGCATCACAACGAGGACACGTAAATTCATAAACAACGTCAGATGTTTTTTTTTTGTGCAGAAATCTTGTCTTTACATTAAAAACAAAACAAATTCAATCCATTTTCAGGTTTGAAAATAACTCTCAGGTTTGTTTGAAGTTTGACTTTACGAAAGAGATTATGTTATTACTTTCTTACCAAAAAACGTGATTTCGATAACATACAGGTTTGAAACTCTTTGGACTCACCTTCAACCATTGTTTTTATGGTAACACAAAACTAGATTAGCCAACTATGGAGCTAATCTAGAATTCATCGCAATTCCATCAGTCTCGTTATGAACGTTACCATAAAAAAAGAACGAATTCCAATAGTTTTTGAAAAGTTGGCTTGGGGAATCTCATCATACCATCTTATTTTTCATAATTCAAATTATAAACTATCGAAGGTTAGGTCGATGATACTTCTATCATATTTAACTGAAGTGGATCATGTATATCAGTTCTTTGAATATCTGAATAGTATACATAATAATATGAAGTTCACAATAGAACATGAAGAAAATCAAAAACTTGCTTTCTTCGTTGGTTTAGTCCATAACGTAAAGGGAGTATTAGAACTGTGAATTATATATTTTAGTTTTGTAAGTTTTATCCTGAACAAGTACAAAGATAATATAACTCATAAATTACAAGCACTTATGAAAGTTTTTGGAAAAAGAGTGAAGAATACTAAATGTTCGTTGAAAAAAGAAAACTGTTCTTATTTATATGCTCATAAGCATATATTTAGGACTTCAAACAGCGAAACAATAGATCATGTGCCAAAACTATCGATGTCAGTGGTACCGTCTTTCACCGGAAAACTCGGTTTTTAGTTAGTTTGTTTGTTTGTAATTAAGCACAAAGCTACACAATGGGCTATCTGTGCTCTGCCCACCACGGGTATCGAAACCCGGATTCTAGCGTTGTAAGTCCGCAGACATACCGCTGTACTACTGGGGGCTCGGTTTTTAGTAAGAAAACAATTACGTAATCAAATAGACCTGGGAGTTATTTCAAACCTGAATGTAGATTGAATTTTCTTTTAACTTAGGAATATGATTCCGACACGAAAAAACAACATCTAACATTGTTTATGAATTTATTATCTTAGTTGTGATGCTAGGTATATAGAATCTACCACTAGATGGCTGGATATTAGAGCTAGGAAACATAGAAACATATAAATCTACTCAGAGACAACAAATTGAATATAGAATAGAAACATGTTATGAGAATTTGTAACGGAGAAGTAAAGAATGCTCATTTCAAGATTGTGGCCAAAAAGTAACAACAAAAGCATACAGTCTTCTTATTAAAAAACTTTGTTAATTTAGCGGCTAAAACCCCATATTAATGAAGTTAGATAACCTGGGAGTGAATTACAAGTATCTTTTTTAGGTGTCATTGTCCTAGAAGAGTTTTATAGTTGTTAAAAATAAGTAAATTAATGCCGCTTCCATCAACCATTCTGTATTATTAATATGTCAGGTAAAGAAAACATTAGACGAGAATTCAAAAAAGTGAAAAGGTAGTACGTTATTGATATAGAACGTTCGGTTAATTTAAACTACATTGAGCTTGCAAAGAGAAGCATACGAATCTCGGGGTGTTCTAGTGTGTCTATAAAAATACAATCACGAAAATTAAAACTAGATGTCATAAATAGCTGTTACCTCTGTTTCATCCTCTGCCATCTGTCCATCGAACACTTTGGCTACTAATTCATTTTGTTCCTTATCCAGGAGAAAGAGAGAACATCTAGATCCGAGAAAATAATGGTTGGTTAGACAAAACTTATACTTTATATATTTTTGTTTACGGATAAACTCTCATAGTGAAATGGTGCAAACGCTTTTAGCTCGTTATAATCACATCTAATAGATGGCGATACCAGCAATTCTCCATGTTTCTTCTCACTTTTCTCCATTCGTAGGTAAGATTAACTATATTCTGAAGGTAATTTTTAAATAATACTGATTTGGTTTGACTGCATTTCTTATATAAGTGCGTAATAAATGGCGATATCAAAATGTATTTGTTCTTTTCAGAATTGAAGATGTGGCAGAAGAATAAGTAATATATATATATATATATATATATAGAACTAGAGATAGTCAAGTTGTGATTGAGAACTTTAAATTTGGAAACTGTGTGAAAGATACAAGAAACGTCTACTTACATGATTATAAGCACACACATATGCATACCTTTCAGCTTTGGTAAGATTCCTAGCCTCAACCATTACTTCTTTCAAAAGAACTGTTACGTTATCTACAAAGAAAGTAAATTTAGGATGGAATAGTAATGAAATTTAAAAAAAAAAATCTTTGTAACTTACTTAGCATTATAAGTTTAGTTACCATCACCTTGAATAATATCCCAATAAAACACAACATTACTTGAAACAAACTTGAGAAATTGAGTCCCACTATAAACTTATAACATAGAACTTCCAAAATATTCCCTAAAATTCAATAGATAAAGCTTTCATTAAGGCTCATCCTAACTAAAGTATTGGCCTGTTACTTTAGAATATTTCATAATCTCAGAAGTGAAAACGTTGATATATGAAGTGTTGAAACTTAGAATTTTGACTTTCAAATGTAGTAATTGCTCACGTTTAGTAGTTTGAAAACAGTCTTTGTTTTCAAAAGAAAACGCACATATAAGTAGAAATAAAATTTTTGCGTTGGAAATTTAGAATACGCGTATATAATAATCAGACATAAAATACAAACTTAATCTTATGGAGTCTGAAACTGATAGCCACTTTCATCTTTTTTTATGTATAACTTGGCTATATATGTTCACTTCTAAATAACCTATTTTCTTCATTAAAGAAACAAACATTATTGCAACGAAATAATTAAAAGCAAATATATTCTAACGTATATTAATTAGTATGAGTTATATTATTGATATATTGTTTGTTGAAACAACATTCTAAAGGTATTTTGTTTACAAGAACAACTAAATTATAAAACACAATATTTACTAATAATCGTATCATAAATATGTTGTTTTCGGTTATTTTGAGGTTTCCCAACTTATGGTAACTCATTCGATAACTTATATCACAGCTATATTTCAGTGTTATGATATAAGGATCCCACTGAGTGAATTCAATTGTAACCTGTAATCAGCTTTATAGAGGAAACGCTTCTTTTACATAATTTAATCTGCGACGTTACATTCCATTGGGGTGGTCAACTTCAGGCTATGTACACTTAATAAAAATTGAAAAGTTATTCTCGGGAGTGCAAGAATCTAGTTATAAATTTAAGGTAGGTAATAATAAACTATTTACAAAAAACATGAAAATCATAATTCAGTTACACACTTTTATTTTTATATGTTCTTATTCGGATACCTTTTTTGTATGTATCTTATTACCACTTTATGTTAAGTAGTTATAAACCAATTTAGTAATGATAGACTAACTAGAAAGAAGCTAATCAACACTACCCATCGCCAACTTATGGAATACTCTGTTATCAACGAAAAATGGGATTAACCGTCACATTATAACGCCACCACGGCTGAAAAGACGAGCATATTAGGTGACAGGATTCGAACTCTCAACCCGTAGATTAATAGTTGAGCGCCCTACCCACCAGACCATATCAGGCCGTGGGTGAAATGGGCTTCAGCTTCTATGGGCTGAAATGTCGCAGTTTTAATTCCTTGAAAGAAACATTTTCATTGTAAAGCTGCTCACGACATTAAATATAGCTTGAAATAATTCTGTCTGAAATAAAACTGAGAACCTGAAACATTTTTTGAGTATTTTTTAGTGATTTCAATAAGTTATATAAAGTAGTGAAATAGAAATGGGTTCACTAACCTTGCCGATTCTAAACTATTTAGTTACTGAGAAGACAGTAAAACGTCACTGTTTGATTATTATGATGGTACAAACATTCTGTTTCTTAGTTTAAATATACGTGTATATTATTTACGAACAACAGCGGCTTGACAGTTTTTACACTGACGAGGTTTCGGATATAAAATATATATTACAGAAACAAGATGAAAGAAACGATGCATATTCCTATTTTCGTTTGCAGTACAGTAGTTGTTTCAAAAATTACCAGTGCATGATATTTGAACGTATTTTTGAGTCAGCTGGTAAAACTGTTAATTGTGTTATCTCTAATTTTAAGTTAGATAATATTTGCAACTAAAGTTATTTCCAGCAACTCAACTTTTAATTCGTTATGAAAAATGTCTGCAATTATGTTTTTTTTTCTTTAAGGCTTTAGTATACACAGAATTATAGAAATATGTAACGTGCATAGTGCAAGCAAAGAATTACCTGTGCTGATGTTAGATAACGTATGCACCATAAACACTCACCTAAGTGGATAAAGAGGTTCTTGGCAACAGCCAGTAGAGACTGAAAACAAATAGAGGAAGATCTTTTTGTAAGTAGTGTGTAACACAAGTCCCCCTTAAAAATAATTAGCAATTCGTGGATATGTTCTAGGTCATATATATGTAAGTAGTGTGTAACACAAGTCCTCCTTAAAAATAATTAGCAATTCGTGGATATGTTATATGTCTTCTCGAAATAATTAGTGCTGCAGAAATCCCAGTATCATGAAAATACCTGCATCTCATGCCCTCACGGATTTGCAGCTTTCATTCAATCCATCACCACTTCTAGAAACCACATTACAGTTTATGATGACACTACGATTTGAAACAAATCTATTAAATAACTCAATAATTCAAGGTTGTTTGTAGCAATATTTGTGTCTCAACTTCTATAACGATGTTGGGCCTTGTAAAATTCGTAAATGAAATAACGGTATGCATTTTATTTTATGCATAGACAATCAAATGTTATAAATTAAATGTTGAAATACAAATACGTAATACTAGATGTTAATTAGGTTTTAGATATCAAATATCACTGAAAAGTAAAATTTTACTCGAGTATTAAAACCATTATATTGACTAGTGTATGGAAATTACTATATATAATGCCTTTTGCCATTAGAATACTTATTAATGATTAGTTTAATCTGAATTCTTAAGCATATTGTCCGGTTAAAGTACATTTAAAATCTTACTACAACAGCTTAGATGTCAGTTTACAGATCTAGAGCTCCCAAGCAGAGGTCACGATAAAATAAAGGAAACTGTCACTGTTAATCTAGCTATTGACCTTTGAACATTCGACCACAAATGTTTCCTATTTTCTGGAATTGTCAGTTGTGATTTATATGCTATGATTTGTAGCCTCGACCTTTTTCTTTGTTGTTGTATCTCAAAGAACAGCATATCATTCAAACAGACACACGAGCGTTTCAAGACATCGATATTGAAACTGACCTGGCATTGTTCCCTCAACCTCTTTTCTTCTTCATACTCTTGAGTTTTGAGCAAAATTGGAACAATTGGCAAGAAACATTCATGTACTATGGCTTCTGTTTCTTTAGAAAATCTACAAGGAAGATTGAAATATTGATAAGTAGCTTATTATTATTTTAATAAATTATCATACTAACATACGCAAGATTCAAAATATTTGAGTATTGAAGCCACTATACTTCAACAGAGAAATTAGTGAGAGAAATACCAGAATTAAAATAAACTGCACTTAGAACGATTTAAAGTCACATCAACTTTCTTTCACTTTATAATATAGAGCTTACATTATTATAGTTATAAAACACCACCATAAAAAGCTTGTCATATGTTTCGTTATTCCAATTAATTAATTGTCCAAGAATCAAAACTTTACATATATATGTGACTTTTGACTTAAACATTACCCAGCATACAGAAAATAATTAACATTTTCTTGCATATACATATATATATATATTATGCACTCACTTTTTAAAATGTTCACTTGCTAAACATGCTAAAATCACAACTTTGTTTTCTGTTGGGTGAAGTACTGGCACGCAAACAAGTGACCTCACTGGGAAATTGACGAGTTTTATTATGTTTTCCTTGTATTCCTGACGAAAAAACACAATACAGTATTCATAGTGAAATAACTCCTATAAATATAAATACATATCACAAATTCAATACCTAGGTTTATAGATAATGTTTTTGCGCATAAAAATAGTCAAATCTTTAAAGTTAGACAGCATTTAATACAAACATATTACTAATAATTTTGACTTGTAATGACTTAAACTCACATAACTTTGTCATAACAAAAAATGCATAATTTATTAATTATCATTCTCCTTATTTAACTGAATATTAACTAATAAAGAAATGTGACTGACCATGTTTTTCTGTGTGAAACTGTGTGACTTTAATTCATTCTCTAGAAAGGATATTTGCATAATTCCAGTTAAGTAAAATAACATTTCTCCCGAAATATATGATGCAACTATCTAATACGTGAACAGTCAAACCTTTTATTAGTTTAAAAGGGCAAAAAAAAGATTTAAAAATAATTTATAGAAGAAAAAAGTTTTGTTGGCTTTTCTGGCGCCGTATGGTAAGCATACATGTCATTTGTTGAAATTATTGCTGAAGTCTTAAGGTACATAACTTTTTAAGCCTTCATAATGAAACCAAATTTATATATTTAAATTTTAACGTATTCAATTGCGAAAAGGGTTGTTTCCATATTTCTCACTAGATGGTGCTAAAATGTCATGGTGTCTTCTTTGAGACATCTTTTAAAAAGATGTCAGAAATTGAGAAAATATAGAGATGTTTGGGAAATGTGAAAAACATGTGCTTACCAGTAGAAAAGAAGATTTTGCATATGAGATTATAAAAGTTGTTTAAGTTGCTAGTGTGTTGCTCCTATATTTACTTTCGTTTACAATACAATATTTTCATCAACGCAGGAAAAATTTTTGTTTGTTATAAATCTTGCGCAAAGCAACACGAAGAGTATATGCGCTAGCCGTCCCCAATTTAGCAGTGAAAGACTAGAGGGAAGGCAACTAGTCATTACCACCCACCGCCAACTCTTGGGCTACTCTTTTACAAACGAATAGTGGGATTGACCGTCACATTATAACGCCTCCACAGCTGAAAGGGCTGGAACGGGGATTCCTTGCAGGAAAAGTGAGCTTGAGGTTTTTGCTTTTAAATATATATATATTGGAAATAATAATCAAAACACACAGATGATAGATATAAAGGAGTCACAAACAACGAGTTATTGCAATCATAATACCAATTTAGAATTACTACAATACATTATTATAGAAAAATAGAAAACGAAGTTTATAATTTATATAATTCAATAGTATTTTGTACAGACAGTTCTCTTATTTTTAAGCTTCCATAAGTTTATTAATGTATGATTGTGAAACATTGTTCCAAATGCCCTGATTACTCCTCACAATTCAGCTAAGTAATCTGGTTGCTGTTTGATTTTCTCATATAGCCTTAATGATATTCATATCGGGACTTTGTGCAGGCCAAGTCATCGTTGTGAGTGTTCCATCGGGTTCTTTTTCCTTCCAAGTTTTGCCATATTTGCTGCATACAAGGAATCATTATATTGCTGGAAAATGAATTTCTGCCCAACAGGACTTGTTCTGAGGAATGACTCGATAGATAAATATTTGCTTCTACCTCTCGGTAGTTTGGGTGCCATCAATTTTATGTAGACCTCCAATATTGTTGGTTGAGATAAATCCCACACTTATACTAGTTTCGCATGCTTTACTGTAAATGTTATATGTTGGCCATGACATCTTTCTTCGCTCTTTGATCAAATAAACTGTCGTTGATTGTTGCCAAACAATTTGAATTCACCTATAAAGAGCACCATCCTCCAGCTTTGCTCATCCAATTGATTGAAGACTGATGCATTAACTCTTTGGTTACAGCTAGATCATCGGCAAGGTCTCTAATGGATTGCTGTGTATCACGTAGAGAGTTAATGTCACTTTTGAAAAGTTTGGGTTTCTACTTTACAGTTTCATTTTACAACAGTGTTAATTTCACATAATCTCTACAGTTTTTCAATACAAAACCTATTAAAAACTAAATGTTACTTCTGTTTGCCGCATGGAGTAGTCTTCACCACCCAAAACTTCACTTTCTATACGTTAGTCCTGTGACATTTCTGTCCTGGGTGTTATGACTGCATTCACTCACTACATTATTTATGGAAATAATATGACTATCTGTGTGTGTGTTAACAGATATTATTGTGTGGCACTGTTTAATTGGTTCGATGAAAGTCAATCACAATGTAAACTATCAGCACGTGATTGTACTCTGGTGAAGTTCACTTTCTGAAATACAAAGGGGGACAATCCATAATGTTTTCATTTTATACTAATTTTATTCACTGCTTTCTAATTACTTACAATATTGTACCTGTATTTCGTTCTTTGAATTTATGAATAAATCACTTCAAAATTTAAAATCGCTATAAAACATTGGAAGTAATTTTTTCTTTCCGATTTTGGTCAAATTTATTTATTTTGTTGTTTTGTTCATGTACTTTTTAATTTAATTAATTATTTGGAGTGTTTTATACTCATTTGTATAAGATCAGAATAACATTAAGGAGGGATGGAATTCTACAGCATATACTAATATTTTATTTCATATAATTCGTTTAGAAGCAGTTACTTTATATTGATAACTAGGAACTGAAGTAACATATAAATGTTGTCGTCATTACATATTAGTCATATATTAATTATTGTTTTGTTGAGAAAACGTAATAGTGCTATTATATGTGTGATACTGTATACTCAACAGTATATAGCCTGAAGTTTAAGAACTGTAAACAAATTCTAGATTACAAAATATAACGTATAGAAAACAAATTTCTTCAAAACGAAACCAAAAAGAACTAGATTGGCTCGTCTTACAACTGACATCATGCCTAATCCGAAACGAAAATAAGTCAACACTTCTACATTTTTAACAAAATACAAGACACTAGAACTAACATCATAAATTAATTAAACGAATTTCCGAACTTACATTCTTAATATCCTGAAACGTTATTGGTCTCTTTTCAGTAATAGCTGTACTAAAACTGTTGCTAGGAATCTACAGAAAAAAAAGATAAAGAAACAAAACTGAAAGCAATGTGGGGTTAATTATTTTTACTTTTGGAAATATTATTGAAGAATATTGTGTTTCGGATTATGTGAAAAGAAATGATCAATTATTAATTATTAATTACTCTTTTATTGGATTTTGTTTGTTTGTTTGTTTGTTTGTAATTAAGCACAAAGCTACACAATGAGCTATCTTTTGCTCTGCCCACCACGGGTATCGAAACCCGGATTCTAGCGTTGTAAGTCCGCAGACGTACCGCTGTGCCACTGGGGGGCCTTTTATTGGAAACAAGGAGATAATGGAATTTTCACAGTTTCAATTTTTTATAATAACGAAAGACTAATTTTCTAAACAGTCATAACGCATATGTGCAATGATTATATGCAGTTTGTTTGTTATGGATTTCGCGCAAAGCTACACGAGGGCTATCTGCGCTAGTCGTCCCAACTTTTGGGTTACTGTTTTACCAACGAATAGTTGGATTGACCGTCACATTATAACGCCCCCACGGCTAAAAGGGCGAGCATGTTTGGTGTGACGGGGATTCGAACCCGCGGTCCGCAGATGGCGAGTCGAGCGCCCTAACCACCTGGCCATGCCGGGCCTGATAATATGCAGAGATATGATCAAGAAGCAGACTTTATGCTACGGTATCTCTTATGTGGCGCTTTTTTTCGCAAGTCTTAAAATGATTCTTAACCGATGTTGCTAACTCCACCTAGCTATAAAAAAAGTAAAAAAAAGTTAGTATTGTAATGCAATTTTTGGGTCATATCACTTTTATTCTATTGTTATGAATATGCGTAACAATCATAACATACAACGAACTATTATATTTGGCAGATATTACTATATAGAACATAAAGGCAGTTAAACTATTCCTGAAGTTTTCTAAGTTCGAGATTAGACTATTCTAAAAGTCTTTCGTCGTTTTAAAAATAAATGTTATGGTGAAGTCTAACATCTAAGGTTTCATTTTATTTCTAAAAACATAAACATGTTTGAAAGGAAGAATGTGTTGTCACTTGGCTTTCCTCATAACTTCTTGCAAGTTTACATTATGGAGTCCCAAGAATCCCTCTGAAATACGACGTATTTGGAATGATGACAAAAGAATGAAAAAGGAAAGCGAATTCTTTATAAACGTTTTAAACTCGACGTAATTTTGTAGGGTAAGAGTTTTAAAAAACAACAACAACTCTTAATAATGATTCATCGGAGTGAAAATTTAAATGATTAGCAAAACTTTAAAAGCTAACAGTGTAGTTTAGATGGTAGTTGGATATAACGTTGAGAAAAGAAAGTCATATACAATGTCACGTCACACAATTTCCTACTTAAAGATTAATCAAAGTTTTGTAAGTACACTGCAAATATATCAACCAGAATTGATTTATGAAATATCTGTTGGCGAAAGTCTAAGAAATAAGATTCATTACTGTATTTCATTTCAAAAGTAATGAAATGGCGTTTGTAACAATAGAAAACAAATACGTGGTATCCTGAAGCTATCAAAACAAGGCCACCAACATGTTTTTAACAGAAAACTGTTTGAAATGACACCTACCACAGTTCTCCAAGTATTCAAAATAATTTCTCATTGTAAGGCTACAAGCAACAATAGTATCCGAAATTTGACATTCATAAAAGTTATGTATTGTTGTAAACTATATATTCAATATTGTAATTTGTTTGTTAGCTAGAAGGCTAATGACGTTTAGATAGGCTTAAAACCTTAGAAAGTTTTAAGTTGGCGTCATGTTTTCTTGTACATTCGAAGTTAGATTACAAATATGAGATAGTTGTGAAGAGTGTAGAGTTCTTTCAAGATAGAAAAATCAGTCGGTGAGTTTTCGTGAAATACTTGGATCTGTGTTTGCTATCGCACTCATCGAGTTTCTTTGTACAAGTGAGTTCATTTGACGTTATTTCTAGTGTTTTTACAAAAGTTCAAACGTCATTTGTAACGCAATCCTACAACAAGTTGCGGCAATGTACAAGTATTCAAGCTTGTAGAAGCTTGTAGAAATGGTAAAGGAGGAAATAAAGTAATTTGTTCTCGTCTCGTGCACTGAACGTTGAATTATTTTCACCCGATAACTTAAAAGAATCTGCCAACGAAAGAACAACAATACAAACTTAGTGTCAGGATTGAGATATTATTTTGGTGAAAATAAAATAGGACTTTGAATACACCTGAAACAGAAATTCAGTTGTCCAAGATGGCGACCACGAGGTTAAATAATGAGATTCAAGGTTAATTGAGATGATGAAATTATTAAGACAAGATCCAGCGCAATCAGTCGAAAAATGTGAATAACACCAAGAAAAGCGTGAGAAAGAGAGACAGAAAGTTAAAATAAAATCAAGAAAAAAATTATAGAGAATTAAAAGAAGACACATATTACCACTGCTGTGCCATCTGTTACTAAAGGACCTTTCTGGACTACCCCAGCTGGGACACTATGAAGTTTGGATCCAGAATTTAGCTGACAAGATAAATATAGTGTCATAGAGAAACTAAAGGACCATGACAAGAAGGCACCATGGCACAGTTCGAAGTCGTTTCCAGAATGAATAGGTGAAATAGTGAACAATAAGCCATCTATCTTGCTTCTCATTTAAAAGGACTAGCTTGGACAACACAAGAGCCATAAGAACTAGTAAGCTTTGATAGAAGCCTTATCCAACAGGTTCAGAATGCCGCATCAAAATTAAGTATCCAGAGCAAAGGTTTGGAGCAGTGTACATAGGAAAGAAAAATCCTTAACCGAATTTGCAAAAGATTTATAAAGACTAGTCTAATTATTTCATCGAGATGGTGCTCGTAAAACGACGAATTTGTTGACACTTAACCAATTTATAGACGTCATAAGAGACGAGGATTTGAGGATCAAGCCAAAACAAAGTAGATGTATGGCTTTAAAAGAAGTTTTACAGTTAGCGATGGAACTTGAATCCGCCAAAATTGTAAATAAACTATTAATGGCACATTTTATAAGTTAGGGAATTATTAGATCCTTTCGTATTGAAACCTCATTTCCCTATCGATAATATAGAATAACTGAATATATTAGTTTGAGAACTAGTTAAACAGAATAGAGAAAATAAACCACAGTACAAAGCTGTTTTAAATGTAACATGAAGAGACATATTGCCAGGGACTGCAGACAAAGGCTAATATGGAGTAAGAACTCTTAAATGATATCAGAAAAAGGTAACCGATATAATTGTGTAATACCTGGCCATTACACCTGAGACTACAAAGACTTAACAGATATTATCAAGCCAAAGATAGCGAGCCCAACCAGATCAATAGAACAACCTACAGCTAACGAGGCATCTAGAAAACAAAAATTAGTTGGATTTATGAGGCGAAGTTCAGCTGGAAATACCCCATCTATCAGGGCCACTCATTGGCACTGCGGTATGTCTATGAACTTACAACGCTAGAATCCGGGTTTCGATACCCATGGTGGAAAGAGCACAGATAGCCCATTGTGTAGCTTTGTGCGTAATTACAAACAAACCATCTATTAGGAATGAGAAAAGAAATTCATTATTTGAGGAAAATCATCCACGGGCTTATTGATAAAAACTTTGCAATATGCTGATTAATACAGATTTCACAGTTACAATTGTTCATCCTGATTTGTTAATGAAAGTTGAGAAATTGCCCCCAGAAATGAAAAAATAAAAGGGATTGATGTTAATAGGAGATGGATGTAATGCTACAGTAAAAGGAAGTTACTCTTACTATAGATATCTTCTCTGTTCTTTATGATGTGGGGGTAAGTGATATCGAGGAAGAGCGCATTTTGAGAACTGACTTCATGCAGAGACATGTATGTGAGGTAAGGCTAGTTTCAGATAGATTCATGGCAATTACTACATCAGAGGTTGAAATACTAGTGCGAACAGGGCTTGTACCACTAAGAAGTGAGATACTCATATCAAGAGTGAAGAGCAATAATTCTTCATCTAGTGAATGGGCTATATAGTGGAACCAAATACTCTAACATGTCACGAGGTAGTTGAAAGAGCTTTCCTGGATGTGAAGAATGAAGATGTCATATATAACTTTATTTAGAAAAGCCTTAATTCAGCTTGTGATAAAGTGAAAGGTAGCTGTAGGATAAGTATTGATAAAAGTGGATGACATGGTGTAGCTGAACAGTTCTCTTCGCAAAAGACGACAAATTCAAAAGATAAGTAGGTTTTGGAGGAAAGATGATCCAAGCCAAAGGTCGTGCACCAGGATCGTCATTGGAAGTATGTTCTGAGAGAATGGTCAACTGGGTACTGCAGAACAGAACTTGTCAGTGGAACCTCAACCTATAGAGAAGCTCAGAGTTATTGACGAGGGTGCTTCCAGAGGATAATTAGGAATGAAGCCACCAATGGATTCATTTAACCACCTACCCAGGAGAAACATTTTCGGCAACAGGACAGCCAGTGACAACAAGGGACAAGACGCCATCCCATCTTTCATTAACCTTTGAAAAAAAAACTACCAAAAAGACTTGGTGAATGGATAGTTGAGTGTAGTGTTTCATTTTTTTATATTTAGGATTGTTCAAGGGACTTCACAATCCAGGAAGGAAACAATATTGTAAGATATATTTCTATGATGAGTTTGTTTGTTAGCTAGAGGGCGTATAACGTTAAGATAGGCTTAAAACGCTGTGATGGATTTGTTATTATATATTTATTTTAACATCCACGTTTGTTTAGATTAAATTTATATTTAGAAATATGCATAACTTACAGTGTTAAATATGTATTGCGAAACTCCCGCCTATTCTGTAAAGTTATAGAAGATTCTCGAGTGTAAGAATCAACAATATATGTGTGTACTTAAACATCAATGTAGCTTTGTATTGTTACATAAAACTGAAGTTTCGAGAAACTCTCCACACGCCTATAAATATAACCAACGCGACGCGCCTAAAAAGAGTACCTATCATTAGTTTGCTATAGTCAGTGTGCTATAAACTTCGGAAGCTATAACTATAATTGTGATTGTTATAATGCTTATTAATCGGAAACTTCAGATATTTGACCAGGAGCGTTTACAAAGTTCGAACATTACAAATCATTTAGCTTCAGTGGATTCTCATCAGACATTAGTACTTTTATGAAAACATTATATAACTTCATCGTGGAAAATTCGGCGTGTGTGGCTAGTGAATAACGAAGGAAAAGCTAGCTAGCTCCCTATTAAGTGAATCGTACCTACATCAACTCGAAATTAACTGGCTCATCCTGAACCCTCGATAAGACATCAAGGAAGTTCCAGACTAGAAAGAAGACTTTGTATTGCTTGTAAGTTTGTGAAACTTTTGTATATGAATCATTGTTTGAAGTAGCTGTTTGTAATAACTGTTATTGTATATTGTATTATCGTTTGTATATTAAAACATATTTGTATAAAACAAAGAAGACCGTGTGTATCAATCTTGTTGGCAAATTTCATCAGTTGGAGATATATCGGCATTTATCTAAATACTAAATCCAAAGTACAAGTTAACTCCGTTTTAAGCTATTACAAATTATCATATGATACAATACCTATAAAGTTCTAAGATGACGTCAAGTTGTTCTCGTACATTCGAAGCTAGATATTTGTGAAGTACGTAGAGTTATTTCAAGATAGAGAGGTGAAGCAGTCAGTGTGTTTTCGTGAAGCACGTGTATCTGTGTTTGCTATTGCGCTTATCAAGTTTCTTTGTAGAAAGAACTAAGTTGATTTTACGTTATTCCTAGTATTGTTACAGAGGCTTGAACGTCATTTGTAATGTAGTCCTACAACAAGTTATAACAGTGTGCAAGCGTTAAACCTTGTAGAAATATTAAAGGAGAAAATATAGTAAGTTGTTCTCGTCACGTGGACTGAGCGATGAATTATTTCCATCGGATAATTTAAAATAACATACAAACTAAAGAACAACGATACAACACTAATGGTACAATTAACTTGAGTTTTCCAACGGAAAACTGTTGGTGTCTTTATCGAATTCTGCTAGTACTAAACCACTAGTAATGTATATTACAAACTCTAAGCTAAAAAGATTAGTGAAAATTACAAAATTCACAAACAATAAATTAACGAAACTCTTCTGGCGAAATCTCAACGCAAAGTTATTTGGTAAAATAAAATATGTGCAATTATTAAATTAATGCTAATATTTACTAGAAACGCAACAGTCAACATGGTCTATGCTTCTTCTCCAAACTGTGACATGAGCAACTTTCTTCTAGGTTTAGAAACAAAGTGGTGGTAAAATATTTTCTTTTACACCAATCGGAGAAAAATAACAAAACACTTATTTTTTAGCACTTACCAAAAATGTTACCTCTTCGTCAAGAATTTTATCTCCAACTACCTAGGCAATAAAAACAAGCTTTTATTATATTAATGAATAATAGGTTTGACTTTTTCTTTGCAGATGAAAGTTTCTATTTTCAAGAAATTGCCGTGTAGCTTAGAAATAAAAGCTCAGAACAAGATTAAAATAAGTTTTATCAACTTCATACTTAAGTTTTGAATACATTAGTTTTAGAAGATTCATTTAGCCTAAGTTGAATCACCTAAATGTTTTGTGTCGAAAAAAAGTCGACATTTTTTTTTTGAAATGGACACCCCTGTCCACTATTCAGTAGTACCAGAGACGCTTTTGAACCCGCTATCTTCACTCACGTCTCCATATTTTTACATTCTGGAGTTATTTTTATATTTTTTGAAATACCCTGTTTACTAATCTTGGTTGCTCTCTGTGATTTACTGATTGCAACACAGCTACAGCATTAGATCGTGGGGATCTGGATAGCTAAAGAAACTTGAAATATGAAGAAAGTCCATTTAATGGATGTTTCTGTACACGTGGTTAGAAAATGATGTAATGTTATATAGGCATTAATTGAAATAATTTAGTTACATATGTCCAGAAATATAGTTTTACTAGTTAATTTATTGTCGGATATTTTACTGTTGTTTATTTAGTTTCTTCCTTTACCGCATAATTTTGTTCTGCAATGGTGAGATAGATTAATACTATTTTAAGTAATACGTATTTACCTTCGTAATCGCAGATAACATCTGAACATAAGTAACCAATATTTATAAATAATAAAACATACATGTATAAATATATAGACATAAGCGAATATACCTATACTTTTAATGGCGTATTATAATTATATTTAGAATATATAAATATAAACACTAGAAGTAATTACAAAACTAAATATAGTTAATCACTTAAGAATATATCTTAATAACTTTAAGTCTAATGTTAGTAGCCGAAAATAGTCTATCTATGTGAAGTCTAACTTTTAAGCTTACAATGAAGCCTGTGTGCAACACATAGTAAAATTAATCTTAAGAATTAATACCGTTCTAATATAACCTAATTAAACTTATTAAAACGACAAGTGTAACTTGAAATGCAATCGTGAAGTTCATATTAATGTGGTTACAAATTGCATTAATTAAAATCTACTGGGTGCCTTTTCTTATTAATAAAGGTGTTTTCAGTTGTAAATCAGTGATAAGTTATTAGGTGGATAATAGTTTTTACCATTTAGGGTTCTTCTTGTTTAAGTTATTTCCGCTTTCATAAAGTGTTCAAATAAATATTATTTACAATGATTAGAATTTACTTTAGAGCTTATTTCTGTTCTGCTCTAGCGAATAGGTGAATACTATTTCTTCGAGGGAGGGGGTTGAGCTGATAAAATGACGTAGCGTTTCTCTTCTTTAACGTTTGCATTGTTGCTTTTAGTCTAACTTATCGTACAGCTTAGCTCATTTTGGTCTCTATTCAGTAAGGTTTACATTGTTATTTTTAGTTTAACTTACCTTACAGCTTAGCTCATCTTTACCTCTATTCAGTAAGGTTTACATTGTTATTTTTAGTTTAAATTACCTTACAGCTTAGCTCATCTTTACCTCTATTCAGTAAGGTTTACATTGTTATTTTTAGTTTAACTTACCTTACAGCTTAGCTCATCTTTACCTCTATTCAGTAAGGTTTACATTGTTATTTTTAGTTTAACTTATCGTACAGCTTAGCTCATCTTGGTCTCTATTCAGTAAGGTTTACATTGTTATTTTTAATTTAACTTATCGTACAGCTTAGTTCATCTTTACCTCTATTCAGTAAGGTTTACATTGTTATTTTTAGTTTAACTTATCGTACAGCTTAGCTCATCTTGGTCTCTATTCAGTAAGGTTTACATTGTTATTTTTAGTTTAACTTACTTTACAGCTTAGCTCATCTTGATCTTCTGACACCGATAGAAAAAAAATTCTGTGTGCCCCAGTTTTGGCCTCCAACTGCAGATAAACAAATATTACACAAGCAGCTTTGAGTAACACTTTCAAGGCACATGCCATGTGATAAATACGCCTTCAAATACAACTTCAAAATGATCACGTATTGCAGTTATATTCAAACTTTAAATTGCATCACCAATGATTAAATAATCCGGGGATTGAAGCGTATCGCGAAACAAAAGCTTTCCACTTTTAGATATCGAAACTATCACAAAAAATTACTTACTTTTTGTTATAGAGGTTTTAAAACACCAGAGAATTCTTCAAAATGATCAAACGTTTTACAAATAAAATTATGAAAAATTCTGGCCTCCACTCATGACGATCTCAGATGATTAAGCAGAAAGTAAACAAATCTTGTAAAGTTACTCCTATATATCACAGTGATTTCTTGAAAATTTCATGGCATTATCGTTATTAATGTATCTTTAAAGAAGTTATCATCACACATTTGCAAGATTTAATTTTGTTTTCGAATCTTTAATATTTAGGTGAGATTTTTAATTATGTAATTATTGTCATATGGTTGTACTGCTTATGAATAATGAAGGTGAGAAATTATGCAGATTTATATCTGTATAACTGATGGTGTGCTAAATGTTCATAACTAAAAGTTAGGCTTAAGCAAAAGTAAAATCATCATTAATATCTACAAACTTAGAAAGCGACATATAAAATAAAAAAAACAGTGTGTGACTGTATGAATCGGAACAAGACGACTGTTTTAGCAAGTCGTTTTTAGTTGGAGCAGCTCTACAATTTGTTTATCATATTTAAAAACCGGAAATGAAATAGCCAAGATAAATTAACAATAGAATGTTTGACATTGGGCACGGGAAGTAGTGAAACAGAAAAGGGAAAAAACTGAATAAGCAAAGAAAGGTCTCTAAAACTATAACAGTCCCTGGCCCCCATCAAACATAATTATTTCCTGGCTACATTGAAAAATAAAGTTTCTGAAAAAAACGTTAAAATTACAGTAAGTAATATTTCCTCAATGTATATAGAGAGAACTGTGATATATATATATATTTTTGGCGCTTTTGAAAATCCAATAGCTATGGTTACAGATCTTAAATCCCCTGCGTTAATCAGGCCCTGTTTTGGCGAACACTTAGTGGTAAGATCTGGTTGAAAAACTAAAATAGGTTCAAATCATAACCATGTGTAATATATTTCCTTTACTATGTACTAAATATGAAAGTCATTTGGTTATTTTTGTCTTTTAAAAGACCTTGACAAACTGTTGAAGCTGTTGTCTTTTAAAAGCACTAATACCACATAATCAATCAGTAAAAGTGTTAAACTTCGAGTTAAGGGCCCAGAAAGTTTATAATTTGCATTATAATAATGAATCTGAAGTGTAATAGAATCTAACTGTGATACTAAGAAAATGTAAAAATCATTGAAGTGAACTTGTATATTTTTTCTTTGTATTACATGTAAGCATCTGAGTTACGATACTCAACTTCATAATATAACATTACGAAGCACGACTTTTTTATTCTTATGTATACATTACGTTTTTTGGATTTTTCTAATATGTTTTAAACAAACTCTTGAGATATTTTGAGCTAAATTATCAATACTCCTTCATTTGTAATGCGGAAGTTTTACAATTGCACTTTTATAAAGAAACCATTATGAATGTGAAGTTCATGATTTATCTATAATTCAAAGTTTAAGAAACATCCTTTAATATATAGTTTCAGAGTTTGACAGAATGATACCTAAACATTTTGAGTTTTACATTGTACCTATCAAACTTGTGTTACTTGTATATGTATGTAATTTCCTCCTTCTCTGGCTACAGGGCACAGGCATCTGTAATACACTGATGACTCACATTTTTCAATGTTTTTACAGTGTTTTCTCGCTGATGCTAACCTGCCATGTTATAAACAGATAAGAATGGTGAGTAGCTTTGCTGATACTGATTACATTTCGAAAACTCGTTTCACCTTTTTTTGCTTTTGAAGTATCTTATTTATTTCTTCTCTTACCAGAAGTCTGTGATTTAAAGGTCAATGAACGTTTTGATAAAACAATCATGCTAAATACCTATAGTTGAGTATACTATAGGTGAGTAGCTTTGCTGATACTGATACTGATTACATTTCGAAAACTCGTTTCACATTTTTTTGCTTTTGAAGTATTTTATTTATTTCTTCTCTTACCAGAAGTCCGTGATTTAAAGGTCAATGAACGTTTTGATAAAACAATCATGCTAAATACCTATAGTTACACAAAATATAAAACAATATCTCCATATCTGTTTGTTTTTTATTTTTACGTGTCATATTTATAAAAATGTGGGTTACAAGTTGACAACTCAAAATACGTAATACTTATGTTTGTTAGTTTGTTTTTGTTGTTAAACACAAAGCTACACAATGGGTTATCTGTGCTGTGCCCACCATGGGTATCGAAACCCGGATGTTAGAGTTAGAAGCCTTCAGTCTTACCACTAAGCCACTGTGGGAGGTGGAATAATTACAAGTTGGTAGCTAAGCTTATATTTATTTTAAAATTATTTATAATAATGATGATAAGAAGAATCTGATCTTAGTCGAAGCCAAAATGATAAAATTATGAAAAGTATGTCATTTCTATAGAAAAATTTACTTCGAAATCGAAAAATTTCTATTTTGTTTACATAATATGTCAGACCAGAAGCTGAAATCAGTTTATGCAGAACAATTAATTATCTTCTTTTGCAATGATTAGTTTTGGTATTTGGTGTGCTAAGCTATTTCACATATTTTTATAACATTTTCTTAGAAAAGTGGCCAATAGCTTAAATTTAAAGCAAAATATACCACTTGGAGAACTTATCAGAGTCTTCCAAAAAAAGAAGAAAAACAAAGATTATTGTGAACTCTAAAAATTATGATTTGAAAACATACTCACATATCTAGAGATTTTGACTTGTAGTTCCGTTGAAGACGAATTATACAAAGATTCTGTGGAGTTAGTAACAACTATTAAAAAACACATTATACAACAGCTAGTAATGGTAGAGTATTATACCATGTTGTATACTGGGCTACAGTCGTAGTCGTATTAAAACAACAACCTAAGTTTAAAAGTCATTCAGTACATGACTGTGACATAAAATATCTTGGAACATGATGTATTTTAAACATTTGGAACACACCATTTCACAAATACAACAAAAGGCCTTATATGCTTGACTTTCGATATTAAACTAAAATTTAATGAGTTCTGTTTACCTCTAGACCAGACTGTTTTTGTCATAAGATCTCTCAAATGTTATTACAACAAAGAAAAAATACAAAAAAGCTTAACTAATCAATTTACATAAAACATCGAAGGCGGATGGTAATATAGATTTATAAGTGCTGAATTGAAGATGTAATTAACGTTAAATCACGTGTAACTCATCAGAACAAACATTTTACTGAAAGCGACTTGCTAAATATTACAATCAAGATTACAAATGTTCCACTCTACTAGAAATAAATTCAACAAAATTCTTTAAAAGTGATATAAATACTGGCTTTGTCATAGCGACCTCTATTATAAAGAATTGTTTAATTTTATTTTATTTTAAAGAAATAAATAGTTTATTTTTGCTTAGAATAAGTTACATTAAAGCAGTAAACAGTGCTATGTAAAATATGCATATATTTTGTCAAATGTTAACATATGCGTTTTGAACTACAAGAATTGAAACTATTAATTAATTACTGCAAAGCCACTGTTATTTTTAATATCATCCAAGAGTAACATATAAAGCAATAAGTAGTCTCAAGTAAGACATTTTGATTAGTTTGAAAAGCTTTTAAGCTCTACAATATCCATGCGCAAACTCTTAATCTAACATCATTGAAATTTATGTTTACAAAGATTGCTTTCAAGTTTCCCATAAAAATATTTAATTTTACTTAACGTGTCATCTTAACATGTTATGTAAAAGTGTACTTATACATAAGTAAATGTTCAAAATCATAAAATTATGAAATTATTGTTCAAGCTTAGCGGCAGTGGTTTAATAAACAATGCGATATTGAGGAAAGACGCTAATCTTTCCAGTCTGAAACTGAGTCATTAAGGTAAGAAACAGTGACTATTTCAACAACTGTTGTACAGTTGTTAGTAACCCGTCAATATTAAATAAGCCATTAGACCAGAAATATAAGCATCGTTTGACATGCTTTATTAACTTTATGTCGATGTATTATTCAACATTTTATGATACATTGCACCCACCCACCATATATGGTACATATTATAGGTTAGGATCGTGATTTGTGCTTCAGTACATTAAGCATATTTCAGATTGTATCGCCAGATTTAAAGAATAAAATTAGTTTCACATAAACCTGGAATAACTCGATATAAACATCTAATAAAATATTGGCTTGTTAATTTAAAAGTTTATACTGTATAATGTTTAAATCTAAACACTGTAGTACATGACTAAAACAATCTTGCGAGAAATGTATTAAATAGATGTACAGTTTACTCAAGTATACTTACCACATAGCTTTAGTTGATTATAGGGATCTGATTGCATTCTGACAGGCCAAACAATCGGATCTGCAAACATTTCACTATGAGATAAGAATTTATGGAAATTGCCCTTATTAATCTAGACAGTAACTTTTTTCAGTTACGGGATGTGAATATATTGAACGATTTTGTATATTAAGTCAAAAAACAGTTTGAAACACTGGGTACAAATTTGCTCAGCGGTAAGTCTGAGTGCTTATAACACTAAAATTTGCATTTCAACACTCACGGTATGCACAGCATAGATAGCATTGTGTATCTTTGTGCTTATTAACAAATAAATAAAATATGTTAAAGCGATATAGTAGTGAAGACTATAGACTATTGAAGACTACTTTAAGATATATATTTAATGTAGCATTCTGATAATTCTCTCAAAAATGTTTTCAGCGATTTTTAAGAAGCTAAGCCTTAATTAAGAGTAGAGAGAGAGATGGCTACAATATCGAAGTTGGCGTTTTTTGTCAAACCGTCCACGTAATTATAAGCGAAATTTCTCCATCTAAGAAACTATCCATTAAAAAACTTGATATTTTTATTTTTATTGTTCTAAAGAGCTATTGAGAATCTCTTTTTAAAACATCATTTTTTTAAAATTATAACAACACAAAAAGCATTTCCGTGAATTTCGTTATACAGTTAAACAATACAAACGAAATTGTAGCTCATGTTTATTTTTCTATGGGATTTGTCTACTTTGACGACATTACAAATCGTGTTCTTTGCATTTTTTTATTATATGATTTGAAAAAAAACGCACGTAATACAAAAATTTAACAAAGAATAATTTATTTTGGACGCTACATTTTCGTTTGCGTAAAGAAAGAAAAGTTGTCTGAAATTGACACATTGTGTTTGTATTTAACTGGTTTATAAACATAAGTTTAAAATTTAATCATATATAATTTCAATGTATTGGACGGCTGATACAAAATGTTTTCAGAAGGCAAATTCAAACTTTTCAAACTATATACGACTGTTTTCGCAAGGTTGATGTTTTATAATGCAGTATTCTATCGATCACATACAAAATTCCTTACAGAAAATCAAAACTTCATTAAAGCGTTGCTGACTTTTTTACTTACCACTCTGGATGTTTTATAAAATACAAGTCTTCATGAAAAACGTTATATTTTAGTTTGTTTTTATTCAATTTTCTTCAATGTGCCCTGTTACAGAAGCAGCTGTAACATAATCTAGAAATAAAACTGTCCATAACATTTTGATCTATTAATTGAAAAAAATAAAAAAATAAAACAATAATTTGAATAAGTAACACACAAACATCGGCCTTGGAAATTTATTTTTTATAATTAAAAATCTAGAATATAATCTTATATTAGATATATATTTTTTTCTAAAACCTAAATTTAATTTTATCTTGAAACTACGAAAGTTTACCTTTGTATAATAAAGACCCCCCCCCCGTGGCACAGCGGTATGTCTGCGGACTTAAAACGCTAGAAACCGGGTTTCGATACCTGTGGTGGGCAGAGCACAGATATCCCTTGTGTAGCTTTGTGCATAATTAAAAACAAACAAACATAATAAAGCCGCTGCTACATTGTAATATTTTAGTAATATTGTATGTATCACATTATTTACCAAACTAAAGGAAACACATAAACATAGCAAATTATGTACGTACAAACTGATACTGTAGATAGTGATAGAAGCATTAATTTTAGTCTTTTCGTTACATCTGTTTAAACCAACGTAATCGCATAATAACTTATGACTAAAGAGGGAGCACAAACTAGGTCTATTTTCCCAAGACATGCTAACCGTAGCTAATATAATGAGAACTAAGATAATTTCTTTATATTAAATGTACTGCTTTAAAAAGAACAAAAATATCATTGGGAAATTATACAAATATTCGTTTCGGAATCAGCTAACACAGTCCGATCTTGTATACTTGTATACTTCCTCTTCTGTTGACGTCAGGTTTACGTCATGGTGAACGTCATAAACTCTAATTCTTCATTTCTTTTTTATATGTAATATTCACTAGATTGGTTTATTTATTTCTTATACTTGATAGTGTAGATCTGTTGATATTCCACATGTTTCATTGGTCAAATATTTAATATCCTTTTACTTCTTTCATTTCTTCTTCTTATTTTCTCCATTTCCTTCTTTAATTATTTTTCTGAATTGTTTTTCCCTCTTTTCCAGTATTATTTCTTTTCTTTAATGTTTTTGATTATAGTTTTTTACTCTTATTCGTCATTCTTTTTGGATTGATTCTGTAATTCAATTTGCTTGACGTACGCAGCTCCTCTACTATAACAGGACAATGATTTCTGCGACAGAGTGAGTACAACATGCAAAGTATAAAGATAAACAGGTTAAAACTGACATTTGCACTATTAACAATTAATTATATTATCAGATGATTGATTTAAATTAATATATAGTGGTATAAATAGATAAATATAGAAAAAGTTTAAAAAGTATTTTAAATAAAAATTAAATTTTTGTATTTTTGTTGCCGTCCCTAATTTTGGACTATCGACCAGTTGGAAGGCAGCCAGTCAGCAACATTCTACCATTCATCACTCATGTTAATGGAAAGACTGTCACTCTTATAATGCACTTACAGCAGTGTGGGGGATACTTAGTAGTATCGTACAAATTCGAACTCAGCTCACCAGCTCCGAAATCTTTATTTCTCACACAGGGCCATCCCCACGTTTTTTATTATAGAGAATGACCATATGTTCGAGTCCTCTAAAACTATTTTCCTAAAGAGCGTAGTTTTTACAAATAGTAGAGTTGGTAAATGAAATTTGAAAGAAAACATGAATTCAATAAGTTATAATAAAGCGTTACATAGATGATAAACTGGTGAATGGCTCATGTCTATTAATAGATAAACAAATTTACCCATAATCATATTATGCTTTCAAAGTTTTGATATATTTTCATTAGATCGATACTTCAATATTCATGTTTAAACTTATTGTCGGGAAAATATCAAACTTTGGGCTACGTCCAAGAACGATTGATTATTTCGAGGAAATTAAAAAAGATGCCCGTGTAGCTTTGCGCTTAACTACAAACAAACCATATCTGGGTTTTACAGAAGGATCCAAGGTCATTTAGCATAGAAAAATGTTTGATGTTTGTGATAAAACATTGCACTTAAATACATTTATGTTCTAAGCGTGCTGTCCATTTTTGATCAAATCAACATCTTTTACTCCTAATATAGTATGGTTCCCTTAAGTTAATAGAATACAAAAAATATGCACGAGGTTTTAAAGAAAAAGAAGAGACAATTTTATGACATTCAGATATATATATATATAGAGCACCACTGCAGAAGCCATATGTTAACTTGAACTACACTGCTGTCTTTACAAAAACCCCAAAATTAAACATTCAGAAAATACACTTTAGTAGTTGTGTCGCTAAACGGAATTCTATATTCGTTGTCTAAACATTAGCTGAGCTAATCAGGTTGGTAATGTATCGATTACCTTCGGAGAGGGTAGGGTGGGGGGGGGGGTTACTGTGTATAAATACAGGTGTTTGGACGTGAAAACTGTAAACAAAATATAATAAGCACATGTATATATTGCCCAAAGTAAAAATCATTCAATTTATATTTCTTGCCTTATGCTTCGAGTATAATGTATGTATTAAAATTATTTGACTACTGAAACAATGTTTAGCAATAATATGAAAAAAAAAAAGAATACAGACGGAATTGAATCCCCGGCTACCCCTATACAAAACGTGTGCTGTGTCATACAAGCCAAAGGCTAAAACCTTTTTTTACATATGCAGCATTATTGTTTGTTTGTAGTTAAGTACAGAGCTACACAATGGGCTATTCGGGTTCTGCCCACTATGGTTACCGAAATCTTTCTAACATTGTAAATCCGCAGACATGCCGATGCGCAGCATTATTAAGCGGAATACTACATATATGACAATCGACGTTATAAAACAGTGAAATTAAAAAAAAAAATACGGCATCAAGAAGTGTAAAAATCAACTGTCTTAATTTGTCACTATTTCACTTGTTTTTATTTTTCCTTCCATCATGATATCAACTCTTTTTCTATTCTTTCCTAATGTATTAACAAAGCGTTGAGCCCACTACCAGTAACGTAAATGGTGTAATATTTTATTCCCCTAACGGGTAAATTCGTTCTTCGTTTATGAAGCGTATTTAAACTTTAGTCTTACTTGTCGATTTTTAAGCGCCTGTATTGATATAACTGTAAACGTATAATTGTTATGGAATAATGATTTTTTTTTAATTATGGTATCAAGAAGGGTAAAAATCAACTGTTGTCATGTGTCTTTTTGTACATGTCTTGTGTGTCTAAATCGTATTTGTATAACATGTGAAACCTGTAATTATTTTCTTTCACGCAATGTGTTAGCTGTAGCACATCGCAAATGAATGAAGTTGGGGCAGTGACTATTAAGGCTAATTGCTGTGAATTATATAGTGGGTAAATTCGTGCTTGCAAGATTGTATGTATAGTACGTATTACATAAACGATTAAGGAAACACTTAATAAACATCATGGTGATATTAGAGCAGACTTTGAAAAACAAATTTATTTAAGAAATAAGACTATAATAATAAGAAGCAGTCATTTTAATGGAGTATTTTCTCAATAGATTACTATGATCATCATAACGTATTTGACCTTCGTATTAATGGGTTGGTACGTTAAAACAAATTATATTATTCTGTTTTTATGATTAGTATTACTTTGATTAATAGCGTCAAAAATTAGGGTTCTTGGGCAGATTCTGTTGGTAATTTTTATCGACTTAAATGTCGGTATCATCACTGCAAAGTCATCGTTGTATTTATGATAGAGACGTTATCTTCCCAGTACGTTCGGAAACCGTAAGTTAATCAACGCTATAATTACTATCTTTCCACTTTTGTAAAAAAAAAACTACTTCTTGCTTCCAGACGTAACAGTGTTACGTACCACAAACGCCCATTAATTAATTATTCGTGCACAGTAATATCAAACTGATTTAATTATCTG